CCTGTAAGGTGTTAATAAAGAAAATCCATTGTGCACGGGTGGAGGCGGTGACGATGGGGTCGCCCGTTCGGTCGGGGTGTTTTTTTATTTTCAAAGGATTTCTCACTGTCAAAAAGCACGAGCGAATGCAAACTCGATCTTGATAAGCATATAATATAATACGCGCATGAGTTAAGGGTAAACTCACATCTTTTGAAGCGTTTATTTTCTTGTTTTAGTGCGCCCGCGAGAGGACATATAATATTTTTTTCCTCTAAACACACTGCAACACAGGTGAATGTTTTTACAAGAACATAATGACGACGACGACGACGGAGGTACGCAGTACCTACGCATAATACGTACACACTTATATAATACACATACGCGTGAAACGGTGAAAACCGTTACTAAACGCGGCCTCCACCTTTGTCCAAACAGAGGGCATATCGTCAACACACTTATGTAAAGGTGTAAATGTGTTATGAATAGTTTCAGTGGAAATATATTTCATAAAATGGGCACATACTGCGGGGAATTTCAAAAAAAAACCCTCGGGTTGGGGAGACCCGCAAACACTAGATTTTTACTAAAAGCCCAAGTGATTATCCGGCCGTTTATCTCACGAGTTATAATATTTTTAGCGGTTTTCGGTTTTGAAACGTTCACCTGTTTTAGATTACGAGTTACAGAGTAGTTAACAACAACTTACAAACAGGACAACACTATTGGACCGAAAAAAATGTTTCAAAAGAAAACAATTTCATTTGTAAAATATTGATTTTGTGGGCTTAACATATTATTATACGTGATTTTACTTACATAATATGCACTCGATAATTTTAAATACAAACTTGTAATTTTAGTATTGATATTGGTTTTTGGTTGGCATTGATATATTTTTAATTTAATGAACATCTTCTATGGATTTGAGAATTGTGGCAAACGGATAAAACACCATATGTTCGTTGTTTTCTAATCAATATAGATATACTTTTCATTCTTCAACAACTGTCTAACACTGTGCTTGCCAAAAGAAAGAAAATATATTTTTAAGACAAATAGTTTCCTTGCTCTCTCTGTCTCTCAGAACATAAAATTTACATTGTAAATTTAAAATACAACATGTTGTATTAGTAAATTGGTTATAAAAATAATGTTTTAGAACTTAAATAAACATAAGAAATCAATGATACGTATTATATCATATTAATTTGCGTCATACTGAAAACTTGAGACTAGAGTCAACCTGGTTTCATAATGTATTAGAATTTTAATTAATTTTAAACCAAATACATAGTAGACGGGAAATTACTAGAACATTATTTATTTAAAACTGATATTGCAAAGAAATTACAAAATACTTACATGAACGTAACAATTTTAAAAATCTACTAATACAAAATTATGAAGTGGTTTTTTTTTTGTTTGTTATTAATATATTTAATATAATTAATATAATAAATATAAATAATAAAGTATAAGAATGTATTAGTATTACAATATAATATACATACGGTCAATATTTAAAAGTGATTTACGTATGCCAATTATTCATGTGCAATGGAAAGATAGGTATCATAATTGTAGGTAGTTGAAATGTGTGTGTTTTTTATTCATAATTGAATTAGCAATATGTTTGTCAAAATCAATTTAACAACCGTTTTGTGTTGTTAATCTCTAGCTTATACACTATTATGCCTAAAAATATTTTTAAAGAAAATGACCACTGTTAATGTGAAATCTTAGATTTGTATTTGTTTTATTAGATATTAATTAATATTTAGCAGCTAATACAATACAAGTAAAATTATAATATAACAATAACATAAAAAAATACATTTTGAAGAAATATGATAACGTGTGTGGTGTGTAAGATTTCATTTATAATTTCGCTTTAGACGTCGTGGAGAATATTAAGCCACATATATATTATCTAGGCTGTATCTGAAGAAAGGATTTTGAAGATTGCAAAATAAAACCCAATTTAAAGTGTTTGAGATTCATCAGATACGTGAGCAGAAAAATTATATTTTTTTCCAAAGCACTATGTGCCTATACTAGTTTCGATTAGTTATTGGATTTAGCGGATATCCGAGAAACCGTTCAAAAATTGAATCCTGTAAGTATTTATTTTTATGTATAATATTTTTTTTTCATCAACAATTCATTTAGTATTTACATTTTCACATGATATAATAAATTTACCTAATGATAACGAACAAAATATTTTTATGTATACTTGTTATAGCATAATATGTTATAACAAACGTCGCAGTATGTAGACGTTTTATAAATAAAATTATAACTGAAGGTTTCCAAAGCACCGAGAAAGTACCTAATTTAAAACTTATTTATATTAAATTATTTTTGGAATTTTATAAAGAGAAACAAATATATATATTTATTTTAGTTGTATTTTTACAGTTATGACTGCAATGGGAATTGCTATAAAGGAATTTATTTTTATTTTTTTTATCAACAGTAAAGGATTTTTCTAGGCTAACATGAGAGATAGGTAAGAACATCATAGGAAAATGGCTGTATGGATTTGTTTCTACTACGTTACACTGCTCACAATATTTTCTAGTGTTGCCGAGTGTAATAGTATAATAATTTTTTTTTAAATATATTTTTAATTACTATATAGTTTTATAACCATGTAGGAAGTAGAAATTTTTTTGTAGAACGCATAACCAAAATCAATTTTTAATTTGGGTTGATATAAAGATGTTTAACCAGTTAGAAGGTACCTTGAAAAAAATTGAAGTCACTGTTATTGAAGGTCAACCTACCATATGTAAATATGAAATATACTATTATCTATGTTACATAAGCCTTTTGAATCAGTTTGAATATAAAACCAGTTTGATTACCTTGTTGTGGTAAATATGTGTAGTTTTGAATTTAAAGCCAATCAAATAAAAAAATACTTAGGCGGGAACTGTGCATTTTTTGTAAAACGTAACTTAAAATTGTGTACGAATATCAGGTCTTATTATTTTCAAAAAAAAATGTACCTATTATAATACACTTATGCTTATGCATTCAAACATAATATTATTCATTGTGATTTGCAATGAAAAAATGTATTTGAAGTAACTAAAAATGTGACTATAGGCAGAAAACTTTGATTATACTTTTAAGAGAATATTCATGGAAGTGATATGGATGGTAGAAATGTTAAATAAATTAAGAATGAAGTTAATTTCCCAAATGTATATAGGGGAGGAAACTTCTTTTTCAACTTAGTACTGTGGTGACGTAGATATCAAGTTTCTTACAGGGCTTACCAATGAATTCCCCAAGAAACTATAATCATTTATTACCTAACCATATATTTTCCAGTGATTATAGACTTGTATCATTACGTGTAATTGGACCACAATGAATCATAATATACCTAGTCTAGTTACGCGTTTTATTATTGTATTGTAGACTGCCTACCCTGAATTTATAAAATTAATACACAAACTTATTATTTGTGAAAATATATTATATATGTACAAAATATTATAATTAATTTAAATAAATCAGATTCGATCATTTGTGACATCTAAAATATTTCACAACAGTTAAGGTTTTAATTTTTTAAGACGTTCTATATAGTATATATTTTTTAAAAATATATTTTTATACTGTACTCCTTTAATATTTAGTTGTAGTTCATAAATCAAAAAGAAACTATTTCAAATAAAAAAAAAAATGTTAAATCAGTGTTTATAAGTGGTTTTTTGTTCATGTTTATCATAGTTTTATTATTAAAATTTGTTTTAGTTGTACTCACATTTAAAATAAACACATTATTAATATTACAAGTTTTCATTTTATAAAATAAAATGTAAGATAATTAATTTTCTACTAAAAGTTTAAGAGTTATAAATGCATTACAGATGAAATGTGGTCTTGGAGGTTGCATTTTTAAAATATTGTTTGATTAATCATAATATCGTTGATTGAAAAGTAAGGTAAAAAAAAAATTATACTTTATAATATGGTGATCAATTACTATTAAAATATTAGCCACTGAACTTTCAGTCAGGGTTATTGTTAAACGATTTCCTACTGACAACATCTCGGTGAGAAAGTCTTTTGGCGCCGTTTCGAAAAGATGAATCAGAAAATTGGATAAGTCATTTTATACGAGTCTGTCTTGTACTCCCAGTTGGTAGGTCATTACACCAGAAAGTCCCCAGAGTTAATACTATGACTATATTTCTTACACTGGTATACACACACTTCATTGATATATAACTCAATATAAGTACCTACTACCTACTGCACAGCACACAACAGTTGTATCACTCGATTCAGAGAATAATATGAAATGTCTGTCCACTTCACTCTACAATTTATTATTTTATTTGAACTATTGAAGTACCGTGTGGCCAATGCAGTTGCATATCACGCTAGACACGAATCTAATTAATAGTGTATTATGTTTGTTGAGTCATTCGAGTTAAATTAATAACGACGTATTAAATGTACTACTCTCAATCTCGATGCAAATAAATCATGAATTCATAAATCAATGAGTTGAGTTTTTACATTGAAGACTATAAATTTGTTTTTATTAACACGTCTTTCTAACAGCTTTTACCATAATTTTCCAACACATGCACTAACACAATATTTGTAAATAAATAAAAAACGCCTCGAATTATTTGTATTACTTTAATAGGTACCTAGTAATAAACACGTAAAAATTACAGACATTTTGACATTTTAAAAATACTTAAATTACCCATTTATATAATTAATGAAATAATAGCTATAAAGTATATTATAATTTACCCATAATATAATATGACAGTCTTAACTAATATAAAACTCTATACCTATCAGCCAAATCTATTAATTAATTAAAACAAAGAAGTTTAAAATATTATACGGTATCGGCTCGAACTTCTAAGTAAGTGTGGCGAGATTTATTTTCGGATTACCGTTATAACATACAAGATACGATAACATAAATTGTACATAAATTATTTATGGACAAGCACATTATACAAACGTTGTTTTCAGTTAGTAGCTACTGTACGATTAATGATTGACATGTTGGGCAGACTGTCCTGGTCTTCTTGTGGAGGCAACAAGACTTTCACGTAGAAAATATTTTTAATCGAATCCGAAATATTGACGGGGAAAAGTCTGTATAGAAAATCAAAACAAAATATTAATTCCACACGAACGATTAGTTATGCATTATTTTTTAAGCCGCTTACTTCCGTATAATATTTGTAAAATAAGTTATATGAGGAATAGTGAATTCAACTTCATTCGTCAAAATCCCGTGGACTGTAGCTTTAGCGGCACTTTCCACGCTCAATACCGGCAACCTGAAAACCGATTATCGTATCGTAAGCTTCGTCTCAATTAATGTTCATAATTTGAAACCCATAAGACGTTAGTTATTACGAAAGCCTCTCCAACTTGTGCATATCAATAATTATAAGATATATAAATATACGTAGGTAATACACTATTTGTTAATAATTAATCATATAAGACAGTGTAACATCATCATACAATATAATATGAAAAAATTATATGTGCTAATGACCTATAATCTATTATAGGTGCCTATAAAGACTCATAGATGAAAGATTGAAGATTATGTTTGTAAATAATCATGATTAGTTTACGTTAATGGCTCAAGCTTAATATTTGTAAAGTACCATTTATAAATTATAATCAAAATGTATAATACCTATACTTGTGTAAATTTAATAGTTATTATATATTTATAGGATAGACGACTGACTTAAAAATATATATGGTATTAATTGGACGGTGAGTGGGTAAAATGTCAAAATCACTACTGATCAGGAAACGAAAAATCTTCGTTATTTCAGTATTCACTCTGGTGGGTTTTTCGTTCTTTGAAAGCTAATTTCGAGATTAGAAATAATGAACCAACTGTCCTCATATTTTGGGATTAAAAATTACCTACGCTGGACGTTATTATGTTACAAGAAAATATGTAATAAAAACCTTAAAAAAATAAAAAAACATATGAACAAAATTGACTTATTGCCAATTATCGTAGAACAGTAAAATCAATGGTTTAGAAATGGTCATACCGGCTGTTGATGGATTTCATATAATCAGCACTCGTGTTAATTAGTCGTGGTATCACAACAGTGGTATGGATTTTGTTGTGCGAATGGTCCCTGAGTTCTTCTCTGAGACTTTCCATCATTCCTAGAAACATAAACAACGTTGTTTAAAACAAATCATAGATAATAATTAACGATCGTTGTTGTCGTCGTCACTGATATCGTCCATAATTTTTGTAATTAATTTGAAAAAAATTAAAAACATTTAGTTTTCACTAGGTTTGATCTTTTAAAGATCTTGACTTTTTACATTATAATAGAATAACTGACTACATTTTGTACTTCATATTCAGGATCAAAATATTGTTCTGAAAATTTCAATATAGGTACTTACATAAAAATCAAACGAGTAGTTAACTAGCTATAACTTATAACTAAGTCTTTAAAATATTTATGAACCAGGAAGGAGTAAGTTATCGACATTTTGTGTGAGTTCCACTCAACTCAGTCATAAAATATTTTAATATCTATAAAATTATACCTAGCTGGTTAACTCACTCGAAATTCGGTATTTATAATATATTATAGAAATTCTCAGTAAAATATATTTCACTCTGAATTTTAAAATAAAAATTAAGGCTGTTATTCAAAAACCTAAAAGACTTGAGAACCATAACCATAAAAAATATAGGTACCTACTTAGAAAAAAGTATAATTTTTTTTTTTAAATGTTGTTTTGTTATGACCAAGTCGTTTTATAAAACAAATGCATTAAATGTCATAAATGTTCACTCTGTGAGCATGACCAGATGGGTAACGTTAAAAAAATAGTTTTATATCGAAGACAATAATGTACTTAGAATGTATACAATAATAATATTATGACAAAAGGTGAGATTATGCAATAGACAAAGAAATTATGCAGATCGTAATTGTTGTTGTTTAAAATAAAGTGTTCAATAGGAGTAAGTAGTGTTTGACTTACCATTAACGCCCCACTTGCTAGCCGTGTAAGCCGATAATTTGGCCTCGCCGCTGAGAGACGAAATCGACGAAATCGCTACAATGTGACCGCTGTTTCTCTTCATCATACTCGGCAAGAACGATCGTATCATCTAAACCATAAAAAAAAAATAATAATAATAAATTATTAGTAAGTGCCTAGGCGACGTAACGAGTAACTTCATGTTTTCCTTATATATATATAATTATTTAATATTAGGTTTTTCTCTTTCCTAACTAACAAATAGTACATATTCGCTTTTCACCGACTTACCCAAAAGTGTCCAAGCAAGTTTATGTTGATGATGGTGGAAATCGTGTGGTCCTGGGCGCCCAGGAACGTGTGGCCGACGATGACGGCAGCGTTGTTGATGAGCACATCCACCGGGCCCAGGTCGAGTTCCACCTTGACGGCCAGCGCGGCCGTTTCGGAGCTGACGGCCACGTTTACAGTGTAAGCTTTGGCCGACGCACCCGGCACCTTAGACTCGATCAGCTTGACCGTCTCTTCGTTACTCGTCTGGTCCACGTCGACGCACGCCACTTTGGCTCCGAGATGGGCGAACATTAAGGCCAGTTCACGGCCGAGGCCTCTGCCCGAGCCAGTGATCTGTGAACACGGATGGACAAATGTCCAAGATGTAGGTACCCTAGAATCAACAAGTCCAAGAATTACGTGGAACAGGTTGCGTGATTTTTTACTTTACGTCACAGTACACAGACGATATCGTTGACCGGTTTCCTCGAAAAACACATTTCGAGACACATAAATATTTTTTTATTTATGAGTGATTAATATAAAAAATGAAAAAAAAACTTTGGATACGAGTTCACAAGACAATTATTCGATATTATCAGTAGCTTCAAAAAGCACAGTATATAAATTGGTATTTTCATAATATTTTTATGATAAAAGTACCTATATGATAATATGATAATAGTATGGTTATAATAATATAAAATATACTGCATCTATGTTGGGTAATGGGTATAATAAATATATTTTGCTTTTAAATGTAAAAAATACTCGTCTGCGTCTTATTATCAATTATTGCTGGAAAGAAATTGCGTAAATGACCGTCACTTGATATACATTTCGTTTCGAGAAACGACCGAAGTAAATAAATCATACTTGTTGTTTTTAAAAACAGCATATTTATAATATATTAAATTATTAATTAATTAAATTTATTTTAACAAAATCTTTATTGAACCTATAACAACTAGAAGCTCTAACAAAAACATCTACCATTAATACCTAACGATTGTGATTTCGATTGGGAAAACAATAATTAATCAATAGGGTTCCGTTGTGGTTTTGGTTTCATGATTTTCAAAAGATTATAACGCTGATTCTTTGTGGTTCCATGCAATTCACTGCGATAAACATTTACAATTTGCACACAATTATTCAGTAAAGTAAAAAATGGCCATCAAAAAGTTGCACTTGAAATGCATTTATCTACCAGCTATCGGTTTCAACCCGACTCACTCTATTCGCACTATATAATAATATAGGTACGCAACAACCGAACAATAATATAATGGTATTATACTAATAATATATTCTATGGCATCACGTTAATATGTTTTAACGTTCGTGTGAGTACATTGTTGTTTTGCAAAGTTTCGACATAGATATCAAATTCATATTCAAATATTCACTTCGTTAAGTTCGTTTTAACATAATTTACTTGATTATCATAACTTACACCGGAAATGTAATTGAATATAAATAACTCATAACCAGCCAGTCAAGTATCATAAATTAAAACGTACCCATATAAGTGATTTAACTGTAATGATACAATGTAATATTCCACATTGTTTTATCATTTGTATATTAGATCACAAAATGTTAGTAAAATTGTTTTTATAGTATTTAATATTAATGAGACGAAATTCAACTAACTGCTGTGATTCATGTTTGAAAATAACCGAGTATCGATGCATTAATAACATTAGCATTACAATGTATCTATGATTTTTATTTTGACAGTTCGGACAATTATAGGTTTTATAATAGAATTAGTAGGTAGTTACTTTGACATGGCTAAAGACAAAAGTGCTGCAAACGGAATTTAAGTAATATTTTATTAATGCATTAATTACCTACTTGTCTATAAACCAATAATAATTAGGTTTAACTCTTATTGAATTCGCCCATAAAATATAACTCTTCATTTATATCCCTTTGTCGTGTAATCTTGACTAATTAATACATAATAATATGACAACTAATCACTTTATAATATGATATTGTCGTATTTGACTAGTTTGTTTATAGGTAGATAGGTACTCGAAACGATTGGAAGGGTAGAATATTACTTATCCTGCCCAATGTGTATGACTAAAAAAAAGATCAACATATCTCATTTCATTTATACATTTCATGATAATACAGGGATTGCTATACAAATGTATAATGTCTATTTCGAATATTAATACTATTGAAATAAAAAAATTTCTCATATAAAATTCTTAAAGATATTGAAGTATATTATAATGTGATAATATAGGCATTCTAACTCCAAATGTCACCCCTCATTGTGTTCATAAATGAATTATGTATTATGGTTTAAAAAATCAAAATCTTATCGTAGTTTTTCATTTGCTCATCCATAATTATTTTGGTTTTTGACGATTGCATGAAATAAACATTATCTTATTAAATCTAATAAACGAGTAAACATGAATTAATTAAACTCCCAAGTAATCTTCGGTCTTCGTGGCATAAACTCATAATAAAGAAATAGTGAGAGACAATACTATACACCTTTTGCTTGACAACAATGTCAATATGCGAACGTCTCATTTGTATTAAACGAATGTATTAAAATTTACCAGTACAACGTTTCCTTTGACAGATTTTTTTAACTTCGGCAGAAGCACTCTGAACGTCTTGAAAAACAACGTCACAAAGAACATTTGAAAGATGATGAGTATCTCTAATACTAAGGGAATCGGATTTTTCAGTGTCCATGGCTCCTGGGTGGAAGGAGGTGCCAATGGTACTGATTTGGTATGTTCCGTTTTTGCGTTGGTCATACTTCTGGAATGATTCTAAAAAAAATAAATTATTCGTTTAGTTTAAATTACCATTATTGAATGTTAAACCTATAATTGGAATGTAGAATATAATATTCTAAACATTGCTTTTCAAATAAAAAAATACTAAATAAATTATTCGTTTAGTTTACAATTATTTAATGTTAAACCTATGATTTGAATGTAGTAGGTTAGTATATAATATTCTAAAAATTGCTTTGCAGATAAAAAAAATAATAAATAAATAACTTATACCAAGGGAAATTTGTTTTACCTTTATCATTTTATATAATAATTACATTTTGACCTATAATATAATTTGATTGTAATTTTAACTGTATAAAAATATCTATTAAAATTTAAAATGTTTTTAAAAGTTATAGCTTTCTAAATAAGTTAATTAAATCAAACCTGAAACTATAATACCATTTGTTCGGGTTAAAAATAAATAAGTTTTTTTACCTTTAACCCAACCTTTTATCGGCTAATGTAAATAATTATTGTTAGTTATAATAACCTGGATCCATAAAAATATTATTTTAGTAAAACGATAATAATTATAAATTTCCAAAGCAGAGTATTTTTATTTTATTTTTTTTAAATGTTTGCAGAATATAAAACAATATACAATTATATCTTAAGTAATATTTTAAGGAGTGCATTTTTTTTATGTAGTTTGAACAGAGCACTTTTGAGATTAAAATATATTAAATGAAAGATTGCTATAGGTAACAATTTATTGTATTTATATTGAAATAAATGCCGATTTTAAATGAGTTCAAAGTTTAAAAAGTCATCTTAAAAATATGAAAACTTGCATTTTATCCATTAACTACTTACTAATGTTAACTTAATTTTTATTATCTTCATATTTAAATATGAACATTAAAATATTAAATTTTAACTTGGCTTATTTATATTTTATTAACACGATATACTTCATAAAAAAATTAATATTTATATTGATTTGGTTGAATGTAATTTTAAAAAATAGACAATAAAATTTATAAAATAAGCGAAAATATTAAGTACTAGTTTCTTCAAGATATTTCGATTAAGCTTATGATATAAATCAAAATAAATATTATAATACTTCTTATTTTTTTTTTTAATACACTGTTTTGTAATAAAACATTGTTTATTATAAAAGTTAAACCATATGCCACCTAGTGCAGTACGAAAATATTAACTTAATTGTTTATCAACGAGAAGTCAAGGGGAAAATGCACAAGAAAAATATATTAAAAGACGGGAAAAAATTCTAAAGTCAATCGCAAGTACAAAGGGAGGCGAACAATCTGAAAGTGTCATAAATCACAGACATCTGGAACGCATTTCCATGGTTTCTACGGTTGTTTTATAAGACAAAAAACGATAATTTCATAAGACCAATAAATATTAAATACATTTTAAATGTTTGACCAAAATAAATTTAAAACAAACTAGATACAAATTTTATTTTTATCCAAACACATTTTATGAATATTATTTGTATTTAAATAGCTTTAAGTGTAAAAAAATCAATATTATTTTTTCAATCATCAATGGCTCTCATAATTTTTTTTCTTTTGTAAACAAGTAAAATACAGTAGAAATTATTACCATGAAATAATTATTAATCAATATTTCAATAGAATTTATTCAAATATTTATGTTAACAGCTGGTTTTCTTGTATTCCATTATCAGTACCTACTGAATAGATTTAATTAAAAATTCTTTACGAAGGTCAACTCAGTACTTAGGTAACATAATTATTTTGTATTAAGGTAAATAATTTAAAACTGATAAAATCAGTCTTCTTCTAACCTAAACCTTTAGGTGTCAATTATTAAACTCAAAACGTGAATCAAATAGTCTTAAACCTATAATCAAAACGTCATAGTTCTGAAAATAGGTACGATTATAGACATGATTTATTTTTTTTCCATGTTGTGAAATAGTTAATAACTGTTATCATACATACTTAACAATTAACACTGCCTGGAACAATAAGTTTAAATCATTAACTCCTGTAGTTCTTCATAAATATTATATTTTATGAATTTTTATAAATAAACCTCATGGTGTCACGAGATATCTGCCATCTCAAAATTTTTTTAAGCCAATATAAAATATTAAAGTGCCATATTTAGAGATCTCGAGTTTTCGAGGATTAAAAACTCAATTTCACGCTGGTAGATACAAAAACTACTTTGGTACCTAATTTATATAATATATCATTAAATATAATACAAAAGATAGCATCTTCGTTTTATAAAATATATTTTAATACAAAATAAACCATTCAATTATTTTGAGTACAATTTATTTATAGTTGATGGTCATTTAAGAATAAGATCAGCTATATGTATACACCACTTTAAAATATTACGTAACATTGTGTACATAATGGTGGTTACATTGAAGAAAATATAAAAATGGACGATGTAAATATTAATTTATGGGACCTACTATGGTTGGTTTACTCGTTTAATACGAATACTACAATGATTTCATATAAATTATTTATTGAAAATATTTATTTATTTTTAAAATAATTAACGCAACCATACTCAAAAATAACTACCAATTTATTTCCAAAATAATGTGTACTTATTTCTACAGTAAATAATTACTTATATCAATATTATTCTTTTGTTAAACTAAAATATTTACAAAACATTATAAATGTGTACGCACTATTGAGGGAAGAACTTCGTACACTGTATACTTAGTATAAATGTTTTGTGTATACCCAAAATCTCTGAATAAATAAAATAAATAGGGTAATAATATATAGTGATGTTAAATAATGGGGTGAATCGAAACAATTATTTAATTTTATAAATGCCAATTTACTATACTATTGTAATGAAAAATGAGCTAAATTTGGTTTCGTATTGTAATATTTCGACGACATTCTACAATAATATAATCTACATAATAAATGCAGGTGTACCTGCGGTAGTGGTGGTTAAACGTGGTTGGGGGGGGGGGGTAAAGTATATTCCCAATATTAAATGTTTTCAATATTTATAATATTTATAATATTTGTATAAATTATAAATTCCAAATTATATTAATAATGTTTAAATAGTGCATGTTAAAATATCAATCACCTCCTCCCCTACCATCAATGACAGAATCATTTAACCGCCCCTCTGAACATATCTATATTTTATAACAGCAATATATTGTGTAGTAGGTATCTACTATTATAGCTTGCTAATATTTGATTTTATAAGTGCTCTAAATATTTTATACTCTGGTGTAATAAAAATACTATGTACAGTTGTATACGAATTATCTACTTAAATCATAGATAAGAATAAATCAATAAGAAAATTTGTATCTATTTACTACCTAAAAAATAATTTAATCTTTAAGTTAATTTGTATAATAATATTATTTATATTCGCGTAACCTACGTGTGTAGATCTAATGTAACCTAATTACTCACCTTATTATACATGCTTTACCTTTGAATAAAAAAAAAGAAGAAGTTTATAAATTAAAACTTGTTTTGCTTATTATATATATCTTAAAAAAAAGACACAAACGAATTCAAAGGAAATAAATTATATAACAAACTAAGTACTAAGTACTGATGCGTAATAAAAAAGCAAAATTCTTTTACAAAGAGTATTTTCTCTTTGTAATGTATTTTGGACAAAAAATAACTCCTTACTTAAATATAATAATATAGATCATGAATTCGTAAATAAATAAGGAAACGTTAAATATTTTGATGAGGTCGTTAAACAATACGAAGTACGAACTGTTTATTTTTAAAACCGTTTTTGGTGTATACATTTTTGACTGTATATAATCTGTATATATCACTACATATATTACAAATATATAAGTCATACAAAAAATAAAACTGTTTACGAATTATTCATTTCGAGTCATAGGATATAATATCAGTAAGTTGATCATGTAGTTTGAATACAATATTCCTTGTGTAATCTTAATACCTTCTTTATAAAGTACCTACTGTCATTAAATAATGTAATCATTATTTTAATAATAATAATAATAATATGCAATATTATAGCACACAGATTCGGCCGTCCTATTTTATAACTCTCAGCCGAAATCGAATTTACATTAATTATAAATATATTGGTTCACATCAATGACACTGGCGTAATAATATTTTTATTTTAGGGGTGTTACAATTTGAAGGTGATTCGGAGATTTCCGTTTGAATTGTACTCTGTCGATAATTTGTCAGAGGACGTCACATCCGCGTTTGTTGTCTCCATCTGACAATCGTATACAACATATTATTACCTAACCAATATTTGCATTCCGCATAACATATTTGTGCTGTTAGCTTTAATATCAGAGTGAATTGGCATGTGATTGTAAATCACTAACGTGACTTAGTTAAATTTGTAATGGATTTATAGTCATTATTTATTTGTAATATTCGACATAATATTCATATAACTTGCTTATTATTATTAAATCATCATGAAAAATCAAGGTAAGTATACACGCACAGATTATGCGGATTAAGTTATTACCTTTAATTATATAGCAGGTCAATAGTAATAATTATCATAATTATAATTATACTCTAATATTAAAGCTAACAGTGCAAAACTGATACCGCCTTATGAACTCAAATGTGCCATGTCCGTGCTCTTTTGTAAGACAACACGTCGTGCGGATGTCCTCTTATTAATTAAAACCGAAATTCGAAGGGTTTTGTGTTATGACGGGCGTTCGAAAAACGAGCGCACAGTTGGTTATAGTGGATTTGTGCGACGTATTTATTTTAATACTAATTTCAAGCGGCGGAAACAATACTTGGACGAACGAATTAAAAAAAAGAAAAGGAAACAAACTCTGGACGAGAGTAAAAAATAATAATAAAAACTAGAAACTGATATTATATTATATTATCATAATCTCTTCCGCCGAGATGCAGACCCGATGTATTTAATCGGCTCTCTTTCCCCACACATACAACGGTGGTAGCGTAGACTGTGCAGGCGTCGGTCGCGCGCGGTCGGCCTTAATTATA